CTCGAGGGCGATCGACCTCACAATTTGGCTTGTGACCGGTTTGAAATCGGCTGATTTCGGGCCGAAGGGTCCTGTCATAGGGACCCTGAGTTCATTGTCATAATCTGCTCAGATTAAAGCGACGCCCTCCAAATTGCACTCAGCAAACAGTGGTTCAGAGAGAAAGCCACCCAGCCAAAGCAAGCTCTAGGCTTTTCAAAAAGCCCCCTCCTGTCCTTCGAATCAGCGCAGCTGCCGTTTTCGCTTGCAGGTGGCCATCCTTGCAGGGGCGCTGGTCTTCAAGGCCAACCAGGAGTCCGGGGGTCGACAGCTGGGCTCCGGCCTGCTGAAAGGCGCGCCGGCGCGCGCTTGCGCCAGCGCCAGCGGCGCGGGATCCGTGCGGGGGTTCTGAAATGGGGCGGGGGTATGGAGTCACTAGGTGTGTGGTTGGACCCACACAAATTGTGGGTTTTCCTCTTGGGTTCCAAATGGTGGGTTTTCCTCTTGGGTTCCATTGAAATCCCAGAAAAGGGGTACTCCAGAAATAAGACACACCCATGTGTAGCCGCTAGATGAAGCGTGTTGGAGGGTAGCTTGGGGTGGTGGAAACCTTTTCGAGCTTTCTGTGTTTTGGCTGCGAACGTGCGAGAGGGACATGGGCCGTTGGGAAGATCAACCCCTTTGATGCGAGTGCGATATTTTTGTTGTTGGGTTGGTTCTGTCCATGTTTACATAGTGGGGACTGCAAAGGGCAAAGTGTGTTGCTATTGTCACACTGGTTGGTTCGACTGCAGTTGGAGCCTGTGTGCAAAGCAAGGATCGTTGCCAGAAGGATCAACTGTAGTAGAAGAAAAAAGTAATGCAGAACATGAGGTCGGTTCAGGGTTGCAGGGGTTTGCCCCTTACGCGTTGAAAAGCACATGCTGGGGTGGGACACATCCCTGATGCACCCCTGACATACCCCTGATATGACCGATACGCAATTTGGTGCTTGTTTTGTCAGGGAATCCTGGGTGGCACGTGCCCCAAGCGACTTGGAGTTGCTCCTGGACCCCTCTGGACCCACAAACCGTGAACATTGTACACCAAAAACAAGACTTCCCGTGGTTTGAGACTGTCCAAGCCACGCGGCTAGCACCTTAGGTGCAGGTTTGGCCATGGATCCTGGATGCAGATTCAACTCCTATGAAGGGAACCAGTGCTACGTGGCCCACGTAAGGAAAATGTCGCCCAGGAACGTCGAGTTTAAGGTGTGTCTGAAACTAGACCCTTGTTGCATTTCTGGAAACGTGCGAACCCACAACCCGCCCTCTTAGTTTAAGTAAAAGTCGTGGTTCAAGGGTTTACACCAGTGCACAAACCACCCCTGAAAAGTGCGCTGCTCGCAGGCCGTTTCCTGTGGGGCAGCATCATTGGTGCTATGGTGCCCGGCTGCAATAGCAGAAAGCAGATGCCACAGATCCCTTGATGGGAGGACTAAACCTAAAATGTGTTGTAGGTGTGAAGCCAACGTGGGCTGCGGATGCCCCAAATGGCCAGGTAGATGTGTTCCTTTTGGTTTCTCTTTAAAACCATCCGAAATGGTTTCCCTATTTGAGAAACCGCCAAATATTGCAAGTTGAGGAAGAAGGAGACCCTCGAGTTTAATGTAATTGACCCTGGTTTTGTGGTTGAGCAAAGACTGCAATTACTGCGATTTACCTGGATTCGGCGGTTGCACATGTTCGAGTTGTCCAAGCACCGGGCAACTGAGACAAAGGCAGGATGTGACACTGGGGCATCCCACCTTCTTAATCAGCCAGCCCGGCCGGAGCTGGAAGCGGCTCGAAAGCTTAAGGTGGTGCATCTGATCTTCCATACGTGCTTGCTGAACTTCATTTGGTCCCAGTGCGGCGACGACGAGGGCGTTGAGTCCACTGAGAAGTACGAGACCCTTGGTGCGGAGATTTACTGTACCAGTGTTGGCTGATGAGAACAGACAATTAGCAACGACTTGATTACTAGGCGGCGGCGCTTCAGTAATTGCGCGGAACACCCGAACAAAACAAATGAGCATTATGGCGTGCGAACACCTGAAACATGTGCTCACTATTGATCGTTTCATGGAGGGTTCTCAACTCAAAACTTTAGAGCTACTCTTGTTTTGAAGATTTGGATCAGGGCTGCATCTGTTCCGACGAAGGATAGGGCAAGAACTCCTTCTGCGATCAACATGTGGATTTGGTTTGTCAGAACATCTGCCATTCCAAGCGGCTCCCCCAAAGCTCGCCATTTTGTCAAGGCCCCCAGAAGCCACCAATGACCAAGAGAAAGACAGGGACCTTATGAACTCGTTTGAAACCTTTGGGGTGAGTCCAAAATAGGGACGCATCTCGTTGAACCCTCATTTGGCCACTTCCCTGTGCAGAGGACGAATGCCCCCCGCCCCAAACTGGGCTGTTGGGTTCTCGGTGTTAAGTTTTGTTTTGAAGCCCATTCGAGGTCCCGAAAAGGACACCCCAAGTTCGTTTTTACCGGTTGTCTGCATGTGGGACCCATCCACTCAATACCTCCAGGTTCCGTGATTGGAGAACTAGGGAAGCCTGACAAGGGGATCCAGCAGGGGATCGCGGATTTGGTATTGGAGTCTGTCCAAGGTCCAAGAAGAAACACGGAGCCGCAAGGCAACCTTTGAAGGCAGTTTTGGTCAGGGTCTCTTCTGTTTGTGCACCAAACCATCAGGCGTGAGTGTGCTTTCCCTTTCTGGGGGCTTGGGCTTCATCGATCGCAAGGCAGGACGTGAAGTGCCATTTTATACCAGACACTGAGCAAATAAGCAAGCAATCGGAGATCTCTAGACAGCGCTTCAGGTTCCTCAGGCTGTTCTGTGTTCCTCAAGCTTTTCCGTTGGGCTCCTTGCTTCCTTTCTGCCTTGCAGCAAGGGAACACTGGAAGCAACTGGGGGTATGGCTGAGGCCCAGAAAACCGGTGGGCCAAGCAAGCCCTTGTATAAACTTCTAGCTGAAATGAAGACGGTTTATTCTCTCCTCCTGGCTTTAATCTATATCTATATCTTCACTGGAGAGATATGTTATCTTTCCCAACAGCTGAAGGCTACGGCCTTTCTCCCCCCCCAGATTCACCTAAGCTTGTCCTATTTGCTTTTTTTTTTTGCCCAGATTCACCTAAGCCGTTTTTCCTATGTCAGCGGCCGTCTCCGATGGAACCGGTTCCGACAGATCGGCGGCGCACCGAGGAGCTGCGCGAAGCGGTTGGCGGCCACCCACTTCTCCACCAACCCGGCGGGGGCCCCGTCCGGTTTGCTCGTGGGGCATCCAGGGTGGTTCCTGGGAACCCAACAAGGAGGTCCCCCAAAAACAGGCGGGGTCAAGGTTTATTTGTAGGAGTGTATCAATGAGGATTCCGAATGATGTCCTTCTGCTTGGGTCTTGGGTTATTCCAGCATTGTCCTGTTGGTGTTGTGCCCACAAAGGTCCATTTTCCTGCCCCTGTCCCTTTTATGGATGGTTCAGAAATCGCCTCACCCATGAAAAGGAGTTGCCTTTTGTGGTGGAGTTGTATTTGAAGGGGAAATGAACTGAACCCTGCACGGTGCTTGGTTCATGCTGTTTTGTTTTGCCTGCCGTTTTCCTGTGTGCACTTTGAATGGGGGGGACGAAAAATGAGAACATAAACTCTTCTTTACTTCGCTGACACACCCGCGGACAGGAAGGTTCCCTTGGACAGGCAGGTTCCCCTTGTCGGAGCTAAAACCCACCGGGCATGAAAGAAACACAAGCTTAAAGACACGGAACAACTTGTCACTATTGTGCCACCGAAGAAAAGACCGATTTAGAGCCAGAGCGCAGGGAGCCATTGCAACCTAATGGGGAGCCTTAGCGTTTATTTGGGGCCAAGGTCCACAGCCCTGCTATCTGAATCAGTATTGGGCAATTTCCATTTTGCGAGAACTGGAGAACTGCACTTGGGGACCCCCTCACGCCATTTTCCCTTGGTGGGGTGACACCTTTTTCCCTAGGGGTGGGGGCCCGTTTTTTTCCTTTCTTGAAGCTTTCGGAGCACCTAAGCACCAGGAGACCTGGAGCCTGGAGACCTGGAGTCACAAGCCGAGGTGCACTGCCTGCGCTCCAAGTTCATCCTGGAGCACAAGCCCGCGCAGGCCATCTACGCCGCCGGGAAGGAGCACCTCATGAGGGCGAACCCCGCCATTGGCCCCACGGCAGATGGGTGGGGCTCCGATTTGGCGAGGTTATGAGGTAATGCCGGGATATAGGTCCTGTTTTGGTGGGGAACCAATTCAGGTTTTGGAATGCCAACGTGATGCACTGTTTTTGCCGATCCAATGAGGAAGCGAGATGGTGTGCCCTTTTCGCCTTGAATCTTGCAATTTCGATTAGATAGATAAAAGATGGATAGACAAGACAACGGCAAAGCCGTAATTTTCCCAGGAAGGAAGACCCAGAAGGTTTGAGCGGAGAAGCGGAGTCGGAGTCAGCTTGCTTGGTTTGGACCAGTCTCATACTTGGTTTGGCAGAGTTTGGATTGGTTTGATTTTGCTTAGCAGAAACATGCTCAAGTATGGAGGCAGGGAATACAAGGGTCATTTGAAAAATATAAGCAAGAATGTTTTGTGGGATCGAGCTCTCACTCAACGATTCAATGACAACTCAAAGTCATTCGGAGTTCCGAGCAAATATTGATCAAGTTGCAGAAAGGAGAGGCTGTGGTTGTAGTGACCTCATGCGGGCCGAGGTTCTCATTTTGAGAGGACCAAGAAGTGAGAGCGAGGAGCGGCGGGTAACGCGGCTGGATCATAGGTTGCGAGTGATTTCTTGCGCCTGGAAAATGCTGCGCTCGAGCAGATGCTGTTTTCTGAGATCGTCGGATACATGAATCTCATGAGGGGGTCTGGATATGATTGGCTTTTGCCCAAAAGTTGTGACAGGGGCTCATGTGGCAATGGCAGGTTCCTTTTTCCATGAGGATTCAATGCCTCGAGCTGGCTTTGTGCCAGTGGCAAGGTTTGCCGTCCTCGCCAAGCTAGCCGCGGCCTGAGAAGGGTGTGAGGGCGCGCAGATATACATGGGTGGGTGTACCCTCTTTGGGGTTGACTTCTCGTGAGTCAATGGAAGAAAACACTTTTTGGAGTGACCTTAAAGGACAGAATGGTGGCTTCCATTTGGACCAACGTAAATAAGGCTGTATGAAACCGACCACACTGTGATCTTGACCGCATACAGTTATACCGTGGGGAAACAAGAAAAAGGGGGGGAGAAAAAAGAAGCAATTCAACATGCCGGCTGCTGTGGCAAACCTAAATTCTGTCTCGCGGCGAGTCATGCTGCTGCGCAGCTTTCATGCCTCAGAGAGTGTCCCAGTCTCCAAGTGACGGTTCTCGCCTCTCCACGAGCTGAGTTGTTTGTACGTCACTTCTCCAATTATACTGCCGGCAAATGACACGTTTTTGGGCACACCCTGCAAGTCCTGTGATTGCCGCCTAGGACCAAAGGGGTGTACCTCTGTCGTTTTTTGTTTTGTTTATTGTACGTTCTGGTTTGCTTTGCCTTTGGGGAAGCCAAAAAGAAAGCCACCAGTTTCGGGGTGTACCAGGGTACCCTCTCCTTCGCTCGCCTTTGGGTCAAAAGCCACATGGCCACGAGGGTCCGAGAGCCACGAGGGTTTCTCGAGGAGAACGAGGAGATCGCCGGAGAGCTCCTGGAGGCTGAGAAGGTGTCGGCCCTGAAGGGCCGGCTGCCCTCTCAGCCCGGGCCCCGGAAGCCCCGAAAGGTCTGCGCGTGGCGAAACCGGCGGAATCCGGCGCCTGAGAAGTTGGCACCCGTGCCACCGAAGCCCTAAACTGAGCAGAGGCTTCTGCAACTTGGAAACTTGAGGGATGCCGGAAGCCTTCCCTCAAAGAGGGCAATTGCAAGATCGGATGGCCAATTTCCAGGTTGCTTCAAACATATCCAGATGAGTCTTAAGTCAATTCAGTGAACCGTGGCTCATGATGACAACTTGCAGTAGTTTATGGTCCACTTGGAAGAGACATCAATGGGGTATTCAACATATTTATGTATGCATGTGGGTGTGCTTTCTAAAAGAGAGTCCACTCACGCAGTACTCATGGGAATGGCCCGTTTTTGCTCCAGCCAAAGATGAGACACACACCCCCCTCCCGCCTGGAGAGATTTGGTGTGTGTGTGTGGGGCGGGGGGGGGGGAGGGGAACTGAAAGACTTGATTGAGAGGCTTCGCATTGCTGGTGAGAAAGAAGGGTTGAGTGAGAGGAACGCTTCGGAATTTATGTTCCAGGACTAGTGGGATAGGCAGCAAATCTGGTGGCTCTAACTTCCGAGAGACCCTTTGATTTAAGTTTGGCCGGGCTTTCTAAAGAGCGTTTCCAAGCAGGCGAGGATTTCAGGTCTTGCGCCCGTGATGTTTCCCGCAAATGCAGGGGAGAAAGTCAGATTCCCAGGGCTGGCCCCATAAAGGAGCAGCCCAGTGTTTTTTTAGGGTGGGCTGTTCAAGCAAAGTTCTCTAAGAATTCCTCTTTTGGCAGTCCTTGCAGTGACTCCTGCGCGCAACACTGGGAAATGACTCACCAATCTTATCCGAGAGGGCCCTCAACATTGAGATCTTCCTGATTTTCAAGTTTCGGGGTATGCTCCACATGGGAAACAAATCCTGCTCAACTGTCCGGGGCTGTGGTCCGAAGGCCTTGCTTCGTGGCGCTGCCGGCGCCGGGCGGAGCCGAAGGTGGAGTTGGTCGAGGGGGTTGATGTCTGGTCTCCCTAAAAAATGGGTCGCTCCCCGAACATCCAGTGACCCCTCCCCACTTGCTTGTTAACAACAACCCCTCCCCCTAACAACAAGTCACCCCCCCTTATGGTTCTTATTCGGCCAGCGGGGCGGGGGGAGGGGGGGGGGGACTTGTTGCGTCACAAGGGATTGAGACCCTGCATGGAGTTCGAGGCTTTCGTTTGGGTATCCCTTATCCCTTTAAGCCCCTTCAACATGACGAGGCCCTTACAAAAATACACATAGAAGCCAGCTTCACCTGGCCCAGTTTTTGTTGGATTTCTCTGGCCGAATTTCCTGTAGGCTTTGTGTTTTTGCGCTTGTTTTGTTTTCTTTATGTATATATATGTATATACACATACAACATCACTGGTCTTCTGTGGATTCGGAAACCGGATTGTTTTGCTTCTTCGACCAAGTGGTCGATTTGTTGCTCCTTTGAGAAAAAGATCCACTCAAGGAATCAAGCGATCCAAAATGCGGATTCATTTACAAGTGTGGATTTTGTTGGAGAGTCCTCCTGTTGATTTTCAGAGGGGTATGTTGGTCTAGGGCAATTGCGACTGCCGCTTGTGGGCAGACTTTGACCGAGAGTGAGCGGGGGCTGTTGGCAGGGAAACAAGAGAGGATTGGCATGTTGACGCAACAGAGGACTATCTACAATATCCGTGGCGTGACCCACCATCAATGTCTACCCTTTGAGAAAATGAGGCCGTCCATAACCAGCAAGCAATTTGACGGAGGCAAAGAAGGCGGGCTGCTTGTTTTGATGCCGCCAAAGGTTTGAGCCCAGGCCCTGCCTTTGGGCAGTTTCTCAGCTCTCCTAAGGGCTGACCCCATAGTGGCGGTTGTATAGTTGCTATATCTTCGGTGATTCGAGCATGAACTTGCGAACTACTTGTTTGAAGGAGGAAATCAAACACCCTCAAGCTTTAGAGTGACTGCATAATATACTTGGCTTGGGTGTTAGGAAGCCAAACATGGACTTGCTACGGAAGTGAGACTTGTGGCAACTCTCAATGGCTGGTGCACAAATTGAACACGCGTGCCGCATGTTTGTCCGGTTCACGGTCAAAATGCGAAAGTTGGCAGACGTTCTCACCCGAGTTCATGGCCTGTAGGTCGCTTGTTGGGCTTGGTTACCGTCTTTTTGGCCAATCCAAGAAGTGAGCAAGCCATGTCCTTGTTACACATATACATACAAGCACAGGGTGAAGACAATGAGAAGCCAAACGAAGCCAAATCGACTGTATGAAATTGGAGTCATATGGAGAACCACATACCCAATTCAAGCTGGGCGCGTTTTTGTCTTTCTGTTGTAAAGAGAAACCAAAGGGTCCCCACTTAAAAGTTCATGAGCTAATCAATTTCTATACAATAGTTTATCCCTCTTATGACTCAACTCAGTTTTACCCGCCTGGCCGTCCAGGCAAGTTGCTGTTCATCACCTGGTTGCCGGAAGGCGGGAACGGCGGGTTCTTGGGAAATGCGGCAAGGGAATGAGTTGGGAACGTAAATTTAGGTTGCTCCCTTTGAAGGAAATCAATCACTCTCAGCGATCTCAAGAAAACATCGGGACGGGCCCCTGGCTAGGGGAACAAGCTCAGCCTGAGATTTGCCACCTGTGTTGGATGTTTGGTTCCGAAGGTATGCTTCGCGGAAGTTTGTGCGTTGGCAGGAGGGTCTGGGTATCCCCTCAGCTCTAATTGTCCTCCGGAGAAGTTGACATGGTGTTCATTGACATCAACGCAGACCCCCAAAAAGTATGTGGTTCTCCTGGTTTGCCTCAAAAACAACCTGAGGGTACCCTGACCGGATTTTCTTAAGGGGACTGCGAGCGAGGAGCAAACCCACGGCAGAAGATGAAGATCTCAGCCTTCAAGGATGAAGTCAGCGTGGTTGCCAACGGGCAGAAGGTTCTGTGCGAGTTTCGCTTAGGAACTGGAAGCCAATTACCACAGATTTTGGATGATTTTGGGGTCTATGTTGATACCCATTTGGATTCTATGAGTCCAAGTCGACCACCTTCTCAGGTCTCAGGGTCGACTCCCCTTTCTTTTCAACCTCTCTTTGAAACATCGCCGTTTCGCTGTGCTTGATCGTTTGGAATGACGGATACTTGGAAAGAAGGATCCCTAGAAATGATGGTTCTAACCATGCTACAATTAACCATAAGCCCATGCCCAGCTGAAACGGTTGAACATCCGAGCAAGGGGACATTCAACAAGGGATTGAAGCTTCCACGAACTGCCGCCTTGTTGCAAGCTTCCCATCAACTGAGAGAGCCTCGCCTGGGATCCGGCGAGGAGTCCGTCCGCGAGCACATCCGCAGCTTCACAGACCTCGATATCGTGGCGGCAGTGGTCTGGCCTGAAGTGGGGGCGAAGGTGAAGCCTGGGAACCATTGATTGAAACACTAGGCTTCACCGCTTCACCCTAGATAACCCCAAAACAAGTTGAATTTGGGAGAGCCACCGAGGGTAGATAAATATATGTATAATGGACATATGGAATCGGCCCCCGAGAAAATTTCATTTGGTGTTGTCTTCCGTACCCTTTGCTTTGGCCTTGGTGGAAGTCACACGGCAGAGTCAGCGCTAAAGGAATCTGAAACTCACCAAGCCAACCCGAAGTTGACACGGATTAGGCGGGGCGCTATCAAACCATCGAAGCCTTTTGCGGTTCAGTTTGCGCCGGAGCCAATTCTTTAGCTGTTGAGCTGGCAAACATTCAAGTTGTTGCTGGCAGCGTGCTTCATTTTAGTCAAATGTCCTGTTGAGCTGGCAGCCATAAAGCCTTTCGTTGGAAGGTTTCTTCACCAGAGTAATGGGAACCCCACGTTACAGGTTAGTATGCCTTTGATTTTTCGGAGGCAGCCTTTGGGGAAACACCCCCTGGTCCACCAGGCTACTGATCGACAATCAAAGGCACGAAAGGTTCACTCCCCAGGTGGCTGCCGACGATGACGATCTCGCAGACGATTTGGGGGCCGCGGGCTTAGGGAGTTGTCGAACATTGAGGGCTATCAGAAAGTTGGCACAACGAAAAGCATGGAGGGATCAGGTTGCAGGGGACCCTTTGGATTCCATGTCCATTTGTTTGTGCAGCCGCTCATTTGCGAAGTTGTGTGAACATGCGCTCTTGGACCCCTGGTTATGTGAGGGCAGGTTGGGTAACATCCCAGGTTGTTTTTTACTGCGGTTCACGATTGGTTGGAGCTGCAAAACAGGGGGTCTGTTTAAGGAAAACCACCTATCCCCCATTTGGAGAGAGAGGCAAAGCGCATTCACTCTAGCATGATTGTTTGTGAGGAAAGGGGGTCGTTTGATCCCCTCCCCCCCAAGGTGTGTATTTCCGGTTTTTGTTGGGGGGGGGGGGGGAAGGGGGGTTGAAAGGTAGCTTGGCACCTGGGAAAGCAGAAAGTTATTTTTTCTCACCCACCCACCCCACAAAAAAGAGTGTGACATGTTCAAGCATTTTCCTGGGAAGGGAGTCGCAAAATGTGAGCTGACGTGTGGCGCATGCACAGAGGTGTTTGAAGGGAGCTTGGTTATGTGATGGGCCCACCAGCGTCCAAAATGCAATCTTACATTTGGCACGTCTCCAGAAGAAAATATAATCTTACATGTTTAGGTGGCATACCCCAGAAAATGTAAATTACATTTCCAGGCGTCCCCCCTCCTAACGGAGTGGGGATGTCGTTTGCCTCGAACCTACGACTGGCTCACTAAATCTGCCAAAATCTAAAAAATATGGTTGGGGGCAAAGGCTGAGGTGGTGTACACTGCATGTCTCGTGTACAACCCCCTGTATGACCTATTTACTTTCGATCTTGCTTTGTCAACTTGGTGTAAGTACAACCCCGGGCTGTCTTTTTCCATGTGACTCAGGAGCCCTGCCATTCGAGCTCGGAGGATCCGGAGGAAACCTTTGTTCCACCCGGCTCAGCAAGACTTCGGCGCATTCTGCCATGTTAGGACTTTCACTCTTTGCCAACCAACGGGTTTTCGGTATTAAACCACTAAAAGTCAGGTGTCTCCGGCTGCACATGGCGGGCCGTAGAGGCAAGCGGATCGAACAAGCGAGCGATGAAACCACTAAAAGTTAGACTTCCACTTTTTGCCAACTAATGGGTTTTTCGTCACTTTTTGCAGGGGAGCAGAGGGCAAAGTTGTCCCCTTGCTGTCCGCTTCTCCAGGCGGAGGCGCCGGCGGCGGTGCCGCAGCCGCAGCCGGTGTCGCCAGCCAGGCCAAAGCTGCCAGGCGAGTCGTGGGGATGCTTCCTGTGCGAAAGGAAGCTTGTGCGGGGTGGTTTTGCCCAAGAGGTTCATAGGGCCGGAAAAATAGGCGGGGGCAGGGGGAGGTAAGTTTGGAAAACGGGTTGGACCAACACAACCCTGACCATCGATGGTCAGTATTGGCTCGACAGGTGACGTTGAAGTCACCCAAAGGGACGTGCTGAGTTTGGAGCCAATCCCGTGAGCCTTAGGCGCGGTGGCGCTCCCGGGCATGGGCGTTGCCCTGCCGCAAGCTCCTCCCAGGGAAGGCGGGGACGGGATGCGTGCTGCCTCCTGCAGCACAGGGGAGGTAAAAACCCAAGGGACGCAAAGGAGCCTCGACCACGGGCAGAGAATTTGTTCTTTCGGCATTTTGTCCATGACACTCAGGTAGTAAGCAGGGCTTCTTTCGCGGAAGCGTTCTTATATGTGTTTGCTCTTGGGGTTCTGCAAGTCCTCTGGTATCTTTTTTTGATGGTCCCCTGCTTGCGGTGGTGTTGCACCATCGATGTTTCATGGTTCCCTGTCGTTTCCTTTTCATGTAAACAAAGCAGAACATTCATATGTGTGTTTTGCTTCGCCAAAAGTCATCATTCAACATCTTTGAAATCAAAAAAACATTACATGGACGCCGAAGAAGTCAAACATATTGATGACGCATGTGTCCCTTGCAAGGGTTTCCCGACTTAGCTGGTGCCTGCTGTTTGGGGCGGGATGTCGGATGATAATAGGGCAAGCTGTTTCAGAGCTTCAAGGCGGTTAAGACGGGATGTCTACTCAAGCTTTTCATGTTCAGCTGGCGGGTTTGGAGGTATGGAAGTTGGTTTCACCCCTCAAACAAAGAGTGTGTTTTCCTACCTGCACACCTCGCACCTTCCAAACAAGATTCAGTTGTGTGTGTATGCTCGAGTCTCGTGGCTTTCTCTGCTATGGCTTTTGGAGGGATGGCACAAGACGCCAACCAAAATATCGTCAGACGCCTCCAGACCAAAAACTGGTCCACCTGAAGTAATGTCTCAAACAACATGTCATTCGTTCATCAGCCTCGCGCCGGGTGACACCTGGGCATAGGGGGGATGCGTTGATCGTCTGTAGGCTACGAGCCGAAGTCGTCATCACCGCTGCCCCTTGGCCTCGTTAGTTTGCGAAATATGGCAAAACGATAGCCGACCCTTTTAGATTGTTGGAGTCTCTGCCAAGAATGGGCATTTGAAAAGAGTTGGAACTTGTCCTGGAAAGGACTGCCGTACAACTATGTGGCACAAAGTGAGAGGGTCATTTGCCCAGTCAATTGGAGCTTCAAAAAGTGTCCTGCGATGCCTTTTGGGTGCGGCTTTCCAGAGTACCGGACCAGACCCCAAGATCATTGCTTGGGGTTCTCACCGTTTGGTTTATGGGTACGTGTAGATGGATAACATCCTGCACCAGTTGTTACGCGGCTTTTTGCTATTATTAGGGTTTCATCCATCCCAAATCGTGCAGATTTCGGGATTCCGGGATACCAGCAATAGAAAGGAATCATGGGATTGTGTCGTTTGGCAACATCAATGCCCCACTTGAATCCATCAAGTCATCAGGTCGTTGCACCAAAAGTACGGGGAAGCCAGTTTGGCTCAGAAAAGTCAGCGAGCCAAGGGTTTCTGTGCCCCTTCGAAGGGTCACCGACCGGGACATTTGTCCATGGGAAGATAGGAAGACACCCTAACCCTCCAATCCAAGCAGCGAATTCGGGTTGAGGTGGACCACAAGTTGTTTCTTTCTGGATCTCAAAGGGGCAAACCTGTGATGAAGGTCCTTCACTTGCGGATCCAATTAAGAAACCACCATGTTGGGGTTCCGCTCGTTTTTTGCTTGGTTTTTTGTGATCTTTCCTGGGAAGCAGCCAAGGTTTCAAGCGCAAGAGACCGCGGCGGAACCCGTCTTTGCAAAGTCGGCGGCACCCGCGTCTTGGCCACGTGCGGCAGTTCGCCGCTTGCTTTCCGTTGTCACACGCATGGGTTTGCGTTTCTTGGAGGGTGCCCGTTATTTTGGGGGGTGGTTTGACGGGAAACCAAGGGAAACCAAATTTTGCCGGGGTCCAAGTCCCTATTTTGACATATATGTGGGCGTAGCAACAAGTCTACCGAACAGAAACATCCAACACAAAGCAGCCGCTGGTCTGGGCGTAGTTTGGCGGTAGACCCCTGATCCGCTGTCGAAGGCTGTGATCCCTCTGCCGGCGGAGCTTCTGAAGCCGTTGGGCCCGGACAGCGTGCCGACTCTGCCGCCCTCGGTCCCAATGCCGCAGGCGCCAAGCAACAAGCCGCGGTAACGGTCGTTTAGGGCACTGTTTCTTCGTTTGGAAGGCTGCCTGAGTTTCGAAAGGTCTATCCTTCAGGTCGTCACTGATGGATAGATGTGATATCCAAGATGCTCATCTCTCTGGCCAAACTTAGGGTTGTGTTGCTCCAGGCTCCCCTGCTTTTGCTTGTTTAGACATAGCCTTTGGGTCCATTGAATGGGGTTCCCCAAGGCGGGATGATGTTTCATATGGGTTTGTCTCATGGACGTGTGGACCCCCAGTTTGGAGGACTTCCTTTTGTTTCCCTTAGAAGCCCAAAAAGGGCACCTTCGATTCGCAAGACGCACCCACTTTCCGCTGAAAAATGAAACCTCAGTCTCTCGTGTTCATTGGCCCGACTGAGACAGATCCGAGGCAATTCTGGCAATCAAGCATGCTGATATGTGCCTTGAAAGTTTGAAGCTAAGTGAGCTGACCTTTGCGTTCGCTCTTGAACCCCCCTCTTAAAACCAACAGGGGGGGGTTCCCATGTGAAGCTACGGAGGCCTCCAGTATTTCTGCGATCATCGTTTGTGCCCATTCGCAGCTCTTGGATGTTCAAGTGGGAAATGTCGGGGAACGGCGAATCACGCGGCTCGGGGCTTTGTTTTCTTCGTTAGGCGACTGCGAGCCCGCCCACCAGCCCCGTGGCAGAGATCTCCGAGTTCCTTAGCCTCGCTGAGCTGCAAGACGCCGCCGTTTGGAAGGACGCGAAGATCATCCGGGGGGACCTGTGATTCCCACTGTTGCTTCCAGGTGGTTTACTTAAACAAAAAAAACAACTTTTTGGACTTTTTGGGTTTGCGCTTACGGTTCTGCTTGGTTCAGACGGAATTCCTAGGTGAGTTCATAGTCCTTGATGTTAGTCCCTGTTGGCTCATGCTAAACATCCCCGTAGTGAATGCATACATACCGCCATTTGCGGAGAGGATATGGTATGAACAACAGCAGGCAATCAAGGGTCCTTCCTTGCACTTGCCTTTTGAGCTAGGTTTAACATTGCCTTTGGTTGCCATTTTAAGTTAAGGCGCCCTTTGGCAGGAGTGACGCTGAAAGGCGACATGTAAGCAACCCTGTCCGACTACCATAAAGCCCGAAATGATTAGAATGGGGTTGTGGGGTAGTTCAAAGCCAAGTCTTGTCATGATCATGGGAGCAATATGCTAGTACTTGTTTAGCCCCGGATATTGCCCACTTACCACCTTCGCTGGTCGCGGTCCTTTTGTCTCAAAATCCGCCCCTCGGTTTCACGTCCCCAAACCGGTTTCGCGCAGCTAGGAGTTGGCTTGGGGAGCGGGCAAAATATGGGATGTGTGAGGCTGGATCACCAAAGCACGTTGACCCACATGTTTTTTGGACGGCTGTTGCCCAGAAACCAAGAGGTGAGATGGAGGTAAGCAGATTTGGGGCCGGAAACAACCAGCGGGTCACCCCGGATTTGTCTTCTGAAGTCTCGGTACGTTTTCCCCGGCCGTTTTTCCAACCTGGGATGGTCATGCAGGTCCGTTTTCCCTGAGGACACGCAGGCAAGTCCGGACAACAAGCAGCTCCTGCAATAGGGCCTACAATTCAGGGGAAAGAAACATTGTTAAAGAGGAAGGGCAGCAAAGTGAAAGTGGTGGCTTACACTGGATTCATTCAAGTGAGGTGACTTTGATCTAGGCAGATCAAAGAGGGCGGTGTGCTACTTTACCCATGATGAAGGTTCCTTGGGGGTCCCTTATATCTGGCGTGTGCATTCTAGCAAGACAAGTTTTGGTCTTAGGTCCGTGCATTGCACTGGGAACTACATCCTTCACAAATGCAATAACAAGGTGTTATGTGAAAATATGCACCCGCAATCCCAGTGTACAACAAGATCGTACAACCCTGAGATTTATGTCAAGGACCCAGTTACTGGAGGATGTTCAAAGCGATGCGAGTAGACCCTACATGTCGCGAGTGAACCATATCACCTCTGATATGTAAATTATTGTTGTTTTTGCTTTCCGGAGGATCGCAACGTGGTGGCCACCGAGCGAGAGCGCTACCTGCCGGAGGATGTCTTCCAATCATTGCTCCCCGGCCGGGAGAGAGGTGTGCAGGCGTGTCTCCAACGGAACCTTTGACGGGGCTTTCCTTTGGCCTTCCTAAGAAACGATCTCAAAAGGCTACCCTCAAAGGAAGACAGACCAATGGCCACAAGAGCAAAGAGTGCCAAGAGAAGCAAAAGCTTGTTTGTGTTGGCAAACTTGAGAACTTTTGGTGCGTTGATCATGTTCGCACAGGCTCAGAAGCCGGCGTGAAACCATGCAAAATGTTTCTGCACCGTCCAAGGTTCGGCATGGACAAGGAGGCCTTTGCAAAGCTTCCAAAATGGAAGAAGGACAACAAGAAGAAGGCCGTGGGATTGAAATAGATTAGGCGTGTTCGGCAGCTTTGCAAGCGCTTGAATTGTGACAACCAGCCAAACCGACCCAGCGACCAACTGAATTGAGTTGGGAAGGTGCATGTCAATGCAAAGCACTTGATTGTATCCCACCGAGACATGGAATTGAACCTGCTCTGGGCAGGAACATGGTCTCTTCTGATTAATTCGACTCGATTCAAAATAGAATTTTCATATGCAGCAGCTATTGGATTGGGTTGATTTAGGGTTGGTTTAGGGTTAGGATTAAGGGTTCGTGGTGTAGGCGACGAAAATGGTTGAAGAAGAGTTCGTTACAAAAGCGTTATAAAAATTTATATTTGTAATTGTATGTTATTCACGAAAATTTTAATAAATATATATTTTGAGATTTTTATGAATTGAATTGTATGGCAATAATAGTATTACGAAAAATTATATAAAAATATATTGATATTGAAGGATATATTTTTTTTTATTAATGGTTGATTGTTTGATATAGAAAATAAATAAATAAAGAATAATATGTTAATAATGTATTAATAATGTGTTAATAATATATAATAATTTAGAAAGAATTGATTTATTGATATGGGTTTTACAAGATTTACCCTATTTTTGATATATTTAGCTTAACCTGGACCTTGGATTTTGAGAGCTTGATTTATACGATATTTTGGGAAGAATATATGAAAATTCGTGATATTGTGGACGCTTTGGTCTCGGTTTGTGGGTTGGTTTTGATGGGTTGAAATATGCTAGAATTAGTTTTTCTTTTTTTGTCCCCCATTTTAACTTATCTATTATGTTGATATGGGGATTGAATTTTTAGATTATATTATTAAAATTAAATGGGAAACCATTTTTTAACCTTTATAACCTTTTAATCCAAATTAACAATTGGGAAATTGTGTTATGTATTTTTTGATGAATATATATTCTATGTCTATGTTTTATAGTTGGTCTTTGGTGTGTGCTTATTGGGCTGCCCTTAGCGATATAGGTTTTTTTAAAGCATATTTGAGAACGATTAGCCCGGCCTTTAATACGTCTCGCAACTTGTGTTTAGAGAACGATATGCATTTCGTATACGAAGAGAATATATGTTTTAATATATTTGATAAATATATTGGTGCTTGAGTTATAGAAATTGTTTTATTAGCACGGATTCTACAAGATATACTCTATTTTTGGCACACTCACCACGGCTTAAACCTTGGCCCCTAAGAGCTCGGCTTATGCGATGCTTTGCGAAGAGTGCATGAAGCTTCATGATATCGCGTCTTTGCGGACGTTTTAGTCTCGGTTTGTGGATTGTGTTTGATGGGTTGGAATAGGCTGGAACTCTTTTTCATGATTGGTTTCTCTTTTTTGTTAATTTACCCCTAATTATTGGTTTGGATTCGTGGTTTGGGAATTAAATTCTTAAATCATATTAAAATTAAATAGAAAACCATTCCCGAATCTCTAAAACCCCGATCCACCATGCACTTTCCGATGAGTATATATTATGTCTCTGTGTCCGTGGCTGGTCTTTGGTCTAACCTTATCGGGCCGTCCTCCGCGACGCAAACCTTTTTTTCCAGGCGCATCTGAGAGCGATTTGCCCGGCACTCAGTGCATCTCGCGACCTATGTTTGGAAAACGGCATGGTGTTTGTATACGAATAATTTTAAAGAAACAAATGTCTTGCCGGCATAGGCTCCACAAGATTTGCTCTATTCTTAGCATACCCACCACGGCCTAGGCCTTAGTCCCTAAAAATTCGGCTCATGTAATATTCTATCAAATTTTCCAAATTTCATAAATCCGTATTAGGTATGGAAAGCGCCGACGGAGCTGCAAACAAAATTGTAGGCTTACGGTGGGGATATTTTGGCGATTTCTTTACAGACGGCCGGACGTTGTGGGCTTTTTTGGGGTTACGTTAAGAAACAGGACATAGATTACGAAGAAATATGTTCCTATGATTTCGGCTACTCAGCATACTTGGTCATAAGGCGACCTGCCGCATCATCAAATGCCGTGCCTACTAAAATTGTAATATCTATTAATGCGATCTATGCTAGGATTATTAATCTCGTCGGCGGAACAATGGGCCGTATAAGATAGCATACGATCAATTCATGGAAATCTTACAATAACGTTCTTTACAAATTTTAGATCTCTAAGATTTTGAGTTATTGATGGAACTCTCTCCGGCAATGCTCGCACGCAACCGACAGAATCCTAATACGTCCAGCCATGTAAATGCTCGGCTGTATTATTTCGTGTCTCATGCTATTATAGTACAAGATTTGCGTAGGACCCTCGCCCCCTATGCCCTTCTGCATAAGACTGTCCGGATTATAGTAGATAGAGATTGGAATACTGAATTGTTCCGGTCTAAATTTGATGGCGCTATGTATGCGCACCAGTTTGTGGTGAGCCAATTCATCGGGGCTTATCGTGTATTCCGATGCAATATGCAACCAAGACACCAAAGCTCAGCTCGGATGCGATATTGTGCATCTACGATAGCTGCATTGTGTCGGTCGCAAAGGTCGTGTCGCTGACGGGCTTATTCTTCGTTAAATGTGCTGCATTCGGCGTGCTCATTAGAGACCCGGCTATGTGCGCGCTATTGTAGACCCAATTTCGTGTTACACCTATTATATATAACGATGATTGGGTAAGAACATATTCCGAGATAATGATACCGTAGATATTGATTCTATTACTCTCCTACCATAGGCTTCATTTCGTACATTGCTAGAAAGCAGCGGACCCCCACTAGTATATATTATCTTCGGAAAACTTACTTATAAAATTTAATAATAATTATATATTTAAAGTGTTATTTATATTTATTGTTTTTGGAATTATTTGATAATTTAAGATTTGAATTATGTTTGATTTATAGAGGTATAACAAGGCATTCGATTTTGGAATGATTTATTGTTTAAATTAATTTTTGTTAAATAATTCTTATTTTTTTGTTTTTTTTTCCTCCTTTCGATTATTGGAATTTTTGCTTTTAAATAATTTAAGGATTTAAATACAAAATTATTATATATTATTTGTTTATAAGAAAACATGAAAACAAAATATCATTCATATTTTAACTCATATAAATATAACATATAATTCTTAATATAGTATAAATTCAATATAAATTTGAATTTAAATTATTAGTTTAATATTATTTAGATTATAAAAAATATATTTTATAAATCCCAATTTTTTAATATATAATATTTCCTTTTCAATGTAAATAAGATATGAAATTATATAATTCTATTTTATTATTTATATATTCGAATTTCTCATAATTAACAATTATTTATGAAATTAGAAAATTATTTAAATTATTTTAAAAATATAAATTATTTTATTAAATATATTTATATATATATAATAAAGAATAAAAAAAAATGTTTTATTTAATTGTTTATTAATTAAATCATTTATATTTAAATATACTTATATATTTTATTAATTCTAAAAATATAGTTTTATAATATAAAATTTATAATATTTAAAATAATAAATATTTAAATAAATTAAACCATTGTTTTCCAATAAAAATATAATATTTAAATATATTAATTATAAAAATACATAAATATTTATATAAAAATATTATAATATATAACGAAATATTTGTGATTTTAATATATTTCCAAAATAAATCTATTTATTTTAAAATCAATTATTATATTGAATTATTCTAAAATTGAAAGGTTAGTGTGTTTTTGGGTTGAATTGCCGAATATGTTCCAGGTACTAAACCACAAGTGTATAAATCAGTGGTGTGTCCATGTTTAGTGTCTCTCTATTTGTGCCCTGTAAGTCTTTCTAAGGATGTTCAGAAGATATGAGTCATGCGTCTATTGTTAATGATCCATTTTTAACCCTTTCTTACTTGCCGACCTTCATGAACTTCTCCATGTAGCCAGGATATCGCCTGCGCAAGCGTGGGTTGAAGGGCTCTCTAATTTTTGACATGAACCGGTATCATGTGTCGCTGCGTTCGTTACGGTGCTTGAGAGCGGCCCATAATTCCAAGCTCCAATTCTCCGGGAAAAAAATCCTATGAGTCTGCCAGGTGTACGGATCAGTCAACATCGCCAACTTGACGAGAGTATCCGCCAAGGCCCGAGCTTCTCCATCATATCGTCATACCACTCTGCATCCTGGTGAGTCTCAGATCACTACATCCCAGTAGCTAACGTGGGTGATGCAATCGATTCCCCTGCTATAGAAGTAGTACTTCTACTACAACAACAAATACTACCACTACTACCACTACCACTACTACTACTACTACTACTACTACTACTACTACTACTACTACTACTACTACTACTACTACTACTACCACCACCTCTACCACTACCACTACCACTACCACTACTGCTAATGCTACTGCTACTGCTACTCGCTACTCATACCGCCACACCACAACTCTACCACCGCCACCTCCGCCACCTCTACTGAGAGGAAGCGGAGTGCCATGAGAGAAATGTCCACCAAGCTCTGACAGCCAGTCCTCCTCCCGGATGTACTGCTTCTCGCGCTTGGGCACCTCGTCACGCTGTGAGAATCTTGGGGGGAGATTTTGTGTCTCCTTCCATCCAAGGTGGGTTTCGTATTCTTGAATTAAATATAATTATTTATTAAAACATAATTTATATATTCATAAAAATCGGCGAAAATTTCGGTCGGAGGTATAAGGGTTGGTTGTACGAGAGTTTCGTAAAGGCTCTATAAAGGTTCTGTGGGTTCCATAAAATTCCGTGAAAGTTCCAAGGAGCTTCTACTTGGATTCTAAAAATTCCATAAGCCAAGGATCTTCTATTTGGATTTCTATCCCTGGATCTAGAACCTGTGTTCGCACGTGGTTCTCTGACATTTACAGGGCCTCACCCGCCAATAGGCAGCTCTCGCTCAAGTTGACCCAAAAAGTGATGCTTAAAGCCACCCAAGGCGGGAGATGGCTGTGGGTTAAAACCAATGGTACGCACCACCCGTTTTAGTCTATTTTAGTAGGGATTGGAATGTTCACTGCATGGCCAGATGTGAAGACACGAAGCCTCGCTGCGCGCAAAGCTGCGCCGAGTTCCCGGCCGCACCACCGCGAGGGATCGCTGCGCCCCCGGGGTTAAACCTGGCCAGCCGATGACAGTGAAAAAAAAAATGGCGCCCCTTTCGACTAGCCTGAAAAAGGGAACCCTCTGGACTCGAACGAAATTGGCGAGGTTCCAGCACCACAAGGGCTTCGTTGTGGCTTTCGAGCACGTTTCCACAGGGACCCAAACCTTTCCTTGCAAACCGCACGAATAGACGCCAGAATACTCTTTTGCGCATCAAACACGCCCCCTCCTCCCAAGAGGAGACAACGAATGGGATCCTCTAAATCAGCTGGCAGAGGTGGTCTTTTCACTGGCCCCAGCTGTCCTCTCAAAAACACTAGCAAACGCAGGTCCAAGCATTGCTCAGCGACTTGCCAAGGCCCCGCGCTTGAGATGCTCAGGATGCCTCAGTGGCAACTCTCAACCGACAGCCAAATGGGCGTGTCGTCAAAGGGAAACCTCTAAACCCATCCCCAGAAGTGTACCTAAAAACGACATACGTCTCACTCGAGCAAACCCCGCTTTGGAAGGTGTTGAAGGGAATGCAAGGGGAAACAAGGCATAGCAATGCATGACGGTCCGCCTGTCCTTCGCAAGGTCTTGGAAAAATTGGATTGGCCTTCTGGTGGATTTAACTCTCTTTGTGTGAAAACCAGGGACATCTTCCACATGGCAACAGTCCGTTTAAAACCGTCCCCGAAAAGACATGCACCAAGGACCAACTCGAGCTTCACAACCAGTTCTGCATGTTTAAACCGCTGATTCAGCATCCTCCTTTCGGCTCCCCCTTGAAGGGATCCATGTTCCAATGGGTGTGGCCCTTCTGAAGATACTCTTTCTGGGGTCTCTTTACAGGAAAAACAAATGGACCAATAAAGTCCATTTCTTTTCTTCCCCTATTTGAGAGACAAACGGCTTGTGGCCTGCTTGTTGAAAACAAGTTTAAAAAGGAATGTCTCAACCAAAACAAGATCCAGAATGCACATTCCAATGCCCCTGAATGGGCTTTGCACACATTGTCCCGATTTCTCCGAATTGGGAACCTCCAAAACGGCTATTTTAGGGTTAAACGTCTCCTTCTGGGCCCTCCAGCGGAATCTCACGGCTGCAGCCCTGCTGCGTCAGGAAGGCTTCCACCTCGGAATTCGGTTTCAATGCGACTTGGCGCAAGTTGGCTCTGAGGCTGAAACTGGGTGCTTTCCCCTCAAGACCCCAAAAAGTCCGTTTTGTGGGCAGCTGTCATTGGCACTTTTTGAGAGGTCCCCAACAAGTATGGTTCTGGCACTTGGTGGTTTCCACGCGTGGTTTCCCCCTCACAACACCCTGCCATTTTGGGGTCAACAGGTTTACTCCCACCAAACCCGTGGTGCGACCTTCCCACGCTTGCAGACCTTCCCAAAAGCCGCCGCTGGGGCCCCGCGGCCGCAAAGTGCCCTCGCAGGTGCGCCTCCGCAAAGGCGGTGCGCCTCGGCGAGCCGAAACGAAACGCGGCCAACCCGGCACCAGACCTGGGTGGTGACCCCATGCTGTGGATGGCCGAAATCCCTTCGCACCACTTTCCATTGTTTGGTGGTATTTACAGGGGAATTATCAATAATCATTCCAGGGTTTCTTAGGTGATGCAGAATTTCGTCCATCCACTATGAATGATCAACCAACCAGTTTATAAATGAGGGGGTGCAACTGTTTCGGGGTGAAATGTGGGGAATCAGACCGCTTTCGGAGGGGAACACGCCCCTATTCGTAAACTGATATGGGGTCAACATTGTGGGTCAAACGTGAACCACCCGAAAGCGGTCAAAGCGGCAAGTGTTTGCCCTTTCCATTTTCCAGGGCTCCATTTTGGGCACCTATGGCGACCAAAGAAAGATTAGAGTTGATAAAAAGCATCCCATTCCCCCCTCACGACAAAAGAATACAAACAAAAACAAAAGAAACCCTTAGCGTGTGTTTTCCTTCGTAAAGATACTCGTCTGCAGATTGCGGGTCTGGCGAACATGCAAACAACATAGCCGAAATATCCCAGCTGCCAAACCTGAACTTTCCTGGAACCTTCAACTTGACGGAACACAGCCCGTTCTGACCAAATGGTTAGGACGCCAAAGAAATCCTTTTGCCTTTGGGGCTTTCCTTGACTATCAAAACTTGTAAGGTCTGGCTTATTGAAACGGGAAATCCCGTTGGTACACCGTCACCCAGCAAAATGCCGGCTCTTCATGTGCGCAGCTTCTGCCTTTTTGCCCCGCCTGTAGCGGCCCTTCAGGTCGATGTCCACGCCTTCCTCCAGAAGCTCCTCGTATCCAAAAAAACCAAGGCAGCCCGCGAGTCACAATCAAAACCTGGCCAGAACCATGTCAAGAAAGAGGGCGGCTGCAGCAATTTATTGATGTGACTGTCCTGTGCTCACCTTCTTGGCTGTGGCTCCCGGGCAGCTGTTTGTCAGGCGCAACTCCCAGTTTTGAAGCATAATCCCGCGAAAAGAACTCGGTGACCACAACAACCAGCAAATTCCCCCTTGTGGGAGGGAACTTCTAGCAGGGGTGGTTGTGGTGTCACTTGTTGCATTGGGTTGGACGTTGCCTAACATAGGGGACCAAAAAACACCAGTTGGACTCCTCCAGAAATCCGTTTGAGCACACTCCAAACGCCATTCCTGGACCAGTGCTCGTTTGCTTGTCCTTGGCTTGTCATTTGCTGATGCTGCAACAGCTGCCGTGGAAAACCAAAGAAAAGGCACAAAAGGGAGCCGAAACGGCCGGAGACGACGACCAAAAACAAAACTTTTTAAAAAACATGCGAGTCGAAGTGGCGGCCGACTTGTCCTTGACCCGATCCAGGTCGCCAAGGTACGCTGCACCTGCACCCCCAGTCTACCCTTCGCCCCAAGGAAGGCAACGAGGGGTCTGGGCCAACAAACGAACCACCAGAACTTCCCTGCTGGGCTCCCTAGGTCTTGATGGGGGCAGCGACTTTGGCGCAGTTGGAGAAACTCGTTGGCCGAGGTCCACGAAGCAACACTGGCCGGAATTGCTCTTCTTTTATAGGTTAGCATGGAATCCAGAAATTTCATGATGATTTCCAGGGAGCAACCTTGGACGTGTACAGGTTTCGGTGTTGGCAGAGGGCAGAAAGAAAGAAATAAAGAAAGAAATGGCTGTGGGTCAAAACCAATGGTACCATTTTGGGGCAGGTGCACCACCCATTTTAGTCTATTTTAGTGGGGATTGGGATGTTCACTGGAGGTACGGGCTGTTGACCCATGGCCAAATAAATTAAAGAAAGACCCGTACTCGAAAGACACATCAGGGTAAGCGATAGAGAGACAACTCTCCATGCTCGCAGATAGCCAAAGGCCCCGGCTGAAGATGCCTGGCTTGGAGCCTTCCTCCTGCAGGAAGCGCACGGTGCCCTGGCGGGCAACGTGAAAATCAGGTGGATCAAGTTTCACCCAGGAAGGACCCCCTGAAGATATGTTTTGTTTGGCTCCAAACAAAAGGTGTATGAGCTCCAAGATTGAGACATGAGCTCAAGAGAAACAAGGCCCTAGCACAACTGTTTGGGGGGTGCCTCGGGCAAGGTTTATGGGGACCCTGCCAGGTTCGTTGTGGGGCACGCTTCGGTGACATGTTGTGCCGGACCGGGGTTGCTCGACCACAAGCAACAAGCTTCAATCTACCCTTTCCACAGGGTTGACAGCCCCATTGGTTCAAAGAGCAAATCATGTGAGCAGCTTGCTTTGTTGCGAATCTAGGGTGCTTGCAACATGCTCTTCGTCACCACTCCTACAGCTGGCGAAATCACTACTCATGATGTTCCCCCGACTAACCATGGAATTTGGCAAGAAACCCCCAAGCTCCGATGGTATTTTGGAAAGTGTACTCAATGTTCCTCTTTACAGCAGATCACAGGTCTCCCACTCAAATCTCCGCATCCTGATCAGTGCATCCTCGAGCCTAGAGCCCGGGCCTCGTATCCGTGAAAAATGGCGAGGTCTATGGGCTTGCCTCGGCGCTTCCCTTCAAACCTCGCCTCCGGGCTGCCACTGCGGCACAGGTTCTTTACAGAGAGGGAGTGAGTTGGAATGACCCCCCATAAACCCGTTCTTGTGGCTTCATGTCCAAAACCCAGGTTGATTCCTGAGCCCCGCCAACGGTGCCATGTTTGCGCCTTTGAAGGGGCTCGCCAAGTAGGTCAAACAGTATGGCGCAGGTGAATTCAGCTCCAGCGCAGTGGAAGATGTTCTCCGCGTCGATGTCAGCTCCCTGTCGCCTAGCCAAAGCAAGCTCGGATCAGGCCTGAAGATCCACAATCAAAACGTGGGCAGATGAAATTTGGTAAGGTGGATGCCCCAGATACCGCAAGTAAACCTAACAGACTCAACCTCAGAACCATGGCAAGTTCTGGCTTCCTGTTTACACTGGGCATCTAGGGGACAGTCCCAACCATGTCCAGAACATGTCTGCACTTTGAGGTCCTTACCGTTCCCACTCACATGCAACTTGACCTGCATTCCCACTTATCGTCATGTCAGAACAGAGACCCCTAGGTTGCCAGTGTCCTCGCGGTTTCCCGTTAAGCCAAACCCAAAGGACTCTGAATGCCCCCGCCCTGGGAACCCGGCACCAGATATTGCGAGATCTCGAAGCGAAGGGCCTGTGCTCGCCCCAAGCCACAAGTCCAAGCGACGGAAGTCTGCGCCAAACAAATCGGCCGTTGCTTGGCTGTGTGGTGCCTTCAAAGGTTTCCCTCAGTCCTTATTGAGGCTGCCTTTTTTAATCGCGCCCACTGAAAACAGAAGCACTCGAGCGCGATGCTTTCTCTTTGGCCATGAGGTCGGTATCCCAGAAGTACCTGGGCCAAGCGTGTGGGGTCAGCTTGGTAGGGAGATGGAACGCTTTCCCGGGCGGGATGAGTCCTAAGCCGTGAACAGAAGGAAGCCGAAGCATGGCTGCGTTGCAAGCCGTGTGTTAGAGAAGCCCATGAGTGGGTTTTGTGGAATCCCATCTAAGTGATAGAGCAGTCATGAGAACCAACCACGTAGGCATCACGAGAGTAATTTCAACAAGCATGTCAAAGCTCCCACCGTACTCCCAAGGTGTGCTTCTTGTATCATCCCAACCCCTGAAAAACGTGGGGGCCAACTCTCCATGATTTCCATCGTACCGACGAAGAGAAGCTGGGGCCGTGGAAATGTTGTGCTACTTGTGAACCGTTGAGAAGTCCTTAGTGCAACCTTCTCAAGTGAGCAGCCTCTTGCCAAACCAACAACTCTTTCTGAAAGAGCAACCTACAAATGGTTGATCCCGTTTGGCTTCCCTTGCCAAAACACCCAAGAAAAAGGGTGCTTACGCCCTTTAAGAGGAAACCGCTCAGCCAGGTACCCTCCCACCCAGTGCTACGTCAGTGGGAGGTGGGCAAACACTTTTGGGATAATGTTGACCTACGATTAGTAAATAGACCATGAATAATGCTAACCGATTTCAAAAAAAATAAAAAATATACCATGAATAATGCTAACCGTTTTTTCCCAGGGGAAAAAATATGAAAAAAATGAAAAATAATATAAAGTAATTCAAACAAATAACCTTCCCCCACAAGAGTGAATGAATCCTGAGTTCCCAAGCTCACAAAAGAACATAGAATTCCCATTGGGATCCATGCAAAATGAAGATTTTTATTCAGGGTCAGTGCTCCCAACCCTCATCCCCCATGGAATTTGCATGGTTTCATAGTGAATTTATCCAGGGATCATGCCAGGGAAACCTGATTTACCATGGGATTTGCATGCTTCTGGCATCTAATCTTTATTCAGGGTCAGTGCTCCCAACCCTCATCCCCCATGGAATTTGCATGGTTTCATAGTGAATTTATCCAGGGATCATGCCAGGGAAACCTGATTTACCATGGGATTTGCATGCTTCTGGCATCTAATCTTTATTCAGGGTCAGTGCTCCCAACCCTCATCCCCCATGGAATTTGCATGGTTTCATAGTGAATTTATCCAGGGATCATGCCAGGGAAACCTGATTTACCATGGGATTTGCATGCTTCTGGCATCCAATCTTTATTCAGGGTCAGTGCTCCCAACCCTCATCCCCCATGGAATTTGCATGGTTAGGGAAACCTGATTTACCATGGGATTTGCATGCTTCTGGCATCCAATCTTTATTCAGGGTCAGTGCTCCCAACCCTCATCCCCCATGGAATTTGCATGGTTTCATAGTGAATTTATTCATGCCAGGGGATTTACCATGCCAGGTGAAATTTCCTCCAGGGATCATGCCAGAAACCTGGATTTGCATGCTTCTGGCATCTAATCTGATCATCCCCCATGGAATTTGCATGGTTTCATAGTGAATTATCCAGGGATCATGCCAAACTGATTTACCTTGCATGCTGGCATCTAATCTTTATTCAGGGTCAGTGCTCCCAACCCTCATCCCCCATGGAATTTGCATGGTTTCATAGTGAATTTATCCAGGGATCATGCCAGGGAAACCTGATTTACCATGGGATTTGCATGCTTCTGGCATCTAATCTTTATTCAGGGTCAGTGCTCCCAACCCTCATCCCCCATGGAATTTGCATGGTTTCATAGTGAATTTATCCAGGGATCATGCCAGGGAAACCTGATTTGCCATAGGATTTGCATGCACTCAATCAATCTTTATTCAAGGTCAATAATCACTCTCAATGCTCATCTCCCTCCCTCTCCCCCTCCCCCCATCCTCCAAGAGCAGCAGTAGCAAATGACCACCACCACCACCACCATACCACCACCACCACCACTACCACCACGTCCTTCAATCTTGGGCACCTTATTCGCGAGGAATGCCTCCTTCTTCATCCAGTAGGCAAATGCCTTCATGGCAATGCACCTCAGGCATCCAGTCTGAAATCTGCATTTGCTGCATGGTGCTAATCTTGTCTCAGCCATCCTGATCTCCATGCTTGCCTCATGGCTCAAATCTGATGCCCTGAAGAACTTGCTGTTCTCATTCATTGCCTGCATTCCTACTAATGCTGAATGACACTTCATGTCCTTCAATTTCTTCAATTTCTCATTGGCTGCTGCATATGCATCATCCTGCTTCTTCTTCAGATTGTATGCTTTCTTCTCAATGTCCTGCATATGCTGATGTAGCTTGCTGGATTCTGCGCTCAATACCTTCTTCATCTTCTGCATTCTGATCTGCCATTCCTCCTTGATTGCCATTGGCCATCCCCTAGATGCTGGGCCTTCAACATGGGTGCATGCCTCAATCTCCATGTATGCAATGACAAAATATCCACAATCAGCTCCTTTCTGGCGAACATGGTTCCTGCATTCCAGTTTGATATTTGCTGCATTCTCTCCTTCAAACAGCTTCACAATCTCATGGGCATACTTCAGGCATTCAGGATGTCCACCTTCCAAGGTGTCATAGTAATGCCACTGATCCCCTTTCTTCACCAATAGGGTCCAATGCTTGGGCGCTCCATGGGCAGGGATTGGGATGCACAAAGTATCAACACCTGATGCACAGTCCAGGATTTGCCCCTTGACCAACTCATAGCCAGCCTCATCCATCTCAGTCATGTTCACAGTCAGCTTTCCCATCAATGCTGGATCCAAGCACTGCACAGACTCAGGAATGTTCAATTGCCACTGCATCCATGCCCATGCCAATACAATGTGCTGATCTTCCAGGTATGTGTCTGCATCTATCCCAAGCAAGGGGTATGTTGTATCAACAAATGGCTCTGGATGGGCAGCTATTGCTTGCAGCATGCTTTGCAATGATGCCTTGTGATATACTGAAAGGTCCTGTATGCTCTGGGTTTCTTCCATGTTGCATCTTCCAGCATCAGGAACTCCATCTGTGTGCTAATGACACCCTTCTCTGTCATGATGCTTGCTGTGCCATCCTTGACATTGGACACACTCCCTGATCTTCCATACTTCAAGGGGCCTGCCTTTTCTGATACCACTCTCACACCCTTCCCAATCCAATCATGGAGCTCATCACCAATTGCATCATCACTTTTCTTTGCTGGGATGTCCTTCTTCATAGCCTTGAACTCCAATTTGCTTGACTTCTCAGCCTCCTTCTTCATCACTGCCTTCTTATCTGCCTTCTTCTTCACTGATGGCTTTGCTATCATGCTTGGCTTTGAGCTTGCTGATGGCTTGCTTGCAATGCTAAGCTTCTTCTTCTTCTTCATTTTTGCTAGCATTGAGCTCTTCAGCAATACCTTGCCAATCCTCTTCTTATTTGTGCTCTTGGCCACAATCTGTTCCAGTGCCTCTTTTTTGCTCATGCTGTCTAATAGCTTTTTGCTCATATGCTTCCTGGCTGATATCCTGATCAAGGATCTGTGCACTGATTTGATCCTTGCTTTCTCATGGTCTTTCATGATGGTGGCCCATGTCGACTCAAGCATTCCTCTCCTGTAGAACTGCCTCCTCAACTTGGGGCTCATCCTGAGGAATAGGGAGTTCTGCATGGGCAGTATCATCTCTTCATTGAGCTCATGCACAATGTCCACTGCATCCTTCTCCTCATCTAGCTTCTCATCCTTCACAGGATCCTGTCCTTCCTTCTTCTTCTGGTGCTCATCTGTCTGATCATCTCCTTCTTGATCAGGTTCAGGATGGCAGTTGGACCATTCTATCAAGTCAGTGATGGCTGCTGCATCGTTGCTGATGGAAAAGTCAGGAGTCAATGGCCTCCCTGATTCATCCAACCATGAGTGCCTATGCTCCCACCAATCTGCTGGGATCCTGCTGGTGCCCATCTCACCTTTGATTGGGACCATCTTTCCTTCCTTGATCTGGTAGGCAATCAAACCATTCCTCTTGGCACCTGATACTACCCAGTTGGTCTTCTCATTGAGGACTGCCATATAATCCTGACTAGCTATTGAAGCCCTGATGATCTCTGGATATCCAATGCTGAAGCCCTTGTCTGATCCATGCTTCCTCTTGAATTGGACCCTCATCCTATCCAGCTCATGGGTGAAATATCTTTTCCATGCTCTGCTGCAATCAGTGTCTGTAACCTGAAGTTGTGCTGTCATGTGGCCCAAAATGCATGCAGGTGCCTGATTCAGGATGTGCTCTGCTTGCATTGTTGCATCTGCAAAATTTGCACTGAATGAGTCCTTGATGTTGATGCCACATACTTCCTTCTCTCCTTGCTCCATGGCAATCCACTTCATCAGAACTCCATCCACATTGCCACTGGGTTGGGACATGATGATGATCTTGCTAGACAAGTCTGGCTCCTCATTGCGAAGATTGACAATTGATTTCATTGATCTGCACTGATGTCCTTTGCTGTGAATGATGGTGGTTCCCCCCACCTCAAACTCATCATCTTCTTTATACTTTCCATCTTTATCCAGATTGCTAAGGCGCTGATGTGGTCCTGCAAATACTAATAGCCCACATGCCACCTCACCTGTCAATTCTCCATCCACCAGCCCATAGATCTTTTGTCTGGCTTCATATGTGATTCTAAACTTCTCCTCATGAGGGTTGTGATGAGACAGCTTCATTCCTGATACCAACTTCTTATCATCTTTTCCCTCTCCCTCAGCTGATGTTATCACTTGCTCCTGTCTCATCTTCATCACCTGCTGGGCTGACTCAATCTCCTTTCTGATTTCTTTGAAATTCACCTTGTCATCATACCTCATTCCTGTCAGCTCCTGCTCACTGAATATCATCTTGGTATGCACAGCTTTGGCCCATACAGGGACTTGATCGCTCATTGTGATGCACATGTTGTGCCTGTTGCTGATGACCTGGGATGGGTTGGCAATGCCTGAAGCTCCTCCTCATCTGCAGCGCCCATCAAATACAGGAT